ATCCCACCCTGCGCCCGTCCCGGGCCCTCGGATCCCACCCTGCGCATGTCCCCGGCCCCTCAGATCCCACCCTGCGCCTGTCCCGGGCCCTCGGATCCCACCCTGCGCCTGGCCCGGGCCCTCGGATCCCACCCTGCGCCTGGCCCTGGCCCTCAGATCCCACCCTGCGCCTGGCCCTCAGATCCCACCCTGCGCCTGTCCCGGGCCCTCGAATCCCACCCTGCGCCTGGCCCTGGCCCTCGGATCCCACCCTGCACATGTCCCGGGCCCTCAGATCCCACCCTGAGCCATATCTACTGGTAGATCTTTGGTCTGACAGAAATGGTACAACCAGATTGGAAGGTGTATGGCCGTTTGCAGAGTTCTGTGTATCACAACAACTGACACTTTGTAATCAAAATTCTTCATTTTACTGTTTTTTACATTTATTCCCTCTGAGCTGCGGATCTCCTGCAGCCTCTTTGCAGCCACTTCCTGTCTCCATACACTCCAGTGATGGCGGCCTGGCATTTCTAAGGGCGGGGTTCCTGATGGTGACACCAGTGGCCATGTCGGTGTCATGTGCTGGAACGGTCACCTGTAGTCTTCATCAGAATTCCGTGGGGGGGGGGGGGGTGACAACACAGGAGGACATCTGGAGTCCGGGGTCAGAGGGGGACACATCTCCCATGTGATGGCAGCTCCCGCCATATAAACCCTCCACCCCTCCCATACCCGCCATGTCAGTGGGAGGAATAGTGCCCCATCATTGGTGTCAGTGGGGGGAATAGTGCCCCATCATTGGTGTCAGTGGGAGGAATAGTGCCCCATCATTGGTGTCAGTGGGAGGAATAGTGCCCCATCATTGGTGTCAGTGGGAGGAATAGTGTCCCATCATTGGTGTCAGTGGGAGGAATAGTGCCCCATCATTGGTGTCAGTGGGAGGAATAGTGCCCCATCATTGGTGTCAGTGGGAGGAATAGTGCCCCATCATTGGTGTCAGGGGGAGGAATAGTGCCCCATCATTGGTGTCAGTAGAGGAATAGTGCCCCATCATTGGTGTCAGTGGGAGGAATAGTGTCTCATCATTGGTGTCAGTGGGAGGAATAGTGCCCCATCATTGGTGTCAGTGGGAGGGTTAGTGCCCCATCATTGGTGTCAGTGGGAGGAATAGTGCCCCATCATTGGTGTCAGTGGGAGGAATAGTGCCCCATCATTGGTGTCAGTGGGAGGAATAGTGCCCCATTATTGGTGTCAGTGGGAGGAATAGTGTCTCATCATTGGTGTCAGTGGGAGGAATAGTGCCCCATCATTGGTGTCAGTGGGAGGGTTAGTGCCCCATCATTGGTGTCAGTGGGAGGAATAGTGCCCCATCATTGGTGTCAGTGGGAGGAATAGTGCCCCATCATTGGTGTCAGTGGCAGGAATAGTGCTCCATCATTGGTGTCAGTGGGAGGAATAGTGCCCCATCATTGGTGTCAGTGGGAGGAATAGTGCCCCATCATTGGTGTCAGTGGATGGAATAGCGCCCCGTCATTGGTGTCAGTGGGAGGAATAGCGCCCCGTCATTGGTGTCAGTGGGAGGAATAGTGCCCCATCATTGGTGTCAGTGGGAGGAATAGCGCCCCGTCATTGGTGTCAGTGGGAGGAATAGCGCCCCGTCATTGGTGTCAGTGGGAGGAATAGTGCCCCATCATTGGTATTAGTCTAAGGAATAGTGCCCCATCATTGGTGTCAGTGGGAGGAATAGTGCCCCATCATTGGTGTCGGTGGGGGGAATAGTGCCCCATCATTGGTGTCAGTGGGAGGAATAGTGCCCCATCATTGGTGTCAGTGGGAGGAATAGTGCCCCATCATTGGTGTCAGTGGGAGGAATAGTGCCCCATCATTGGTGTCAGTGGGAGGAATAGTGCCCCATCATTGGTGTCAGTGGAGGAATAGTGACCCATCATTGGTATCAGTGGGAGGAATAGCGCCCCATCATTGGTGTCAGTGGAGGAATAGTGACCCATCATTGGTGTCAGTGGGGGGAATAGTGCCCCATCATTGGTGTCAGTGGGAGGAATAGCGCCCCATCATTGGTGTCAGTGGGAGGAATAGTGCCCCATCATTGGTGTCAGTGGGAGGAATAGCGTCCCATCATTGGTGTCAGTGGGAGGAATAGTGCCCCATCATTGGTGTCAGTGGGAGGAATAGTGCCCCATCATTGGTGTCAGTGGATGGAATAGCGCCCCGTCATTGGTGTCAGTGGGAGGAATAGCGCCCCGTCATTGGTGTCAGTGGGAGGAATAGTGCCCCATCATTGGTGTCAGTGGGAGGAATAGCGCCCCGTCATTGGTGTCAGTGGGAGGAATAGTGCCCCATCATTGGTATTAGTCTAAGGAATAGTGCCCCATCATTGGTGTCAGTGGGAGGAATAGTGCCCCATCATTGGTATTAGTCTAAGGAATAGTGCCCCATCATTGGTGTCAGTGGGAGGAATAGTGCCCCATCATTGGTGTCAGTGGGAGGAATAGTGCCCCATCATTGGTGTCAGTGGGAGGAATAGTGCCCCATCATTGGTGTCAGTGGGAGGAATAGTGCCCCATCATTGGTGTCAGTGGGAGGAATAGTGCCCCATCATTGGTGTCAGTGGAGGAATAGTGACCCATCATTGGTATCAGTGGGAGGAATAGCGCCCCATCATTGGTGTCAGTGGAGGAATAGTGACCCATCATTGGTGTCAGTGGGGGGAATAGTGCCCCATCATTGGTGTCAGTGGGAGGAATAGTGCCCCATCATTGGTATCAGTGGGAGGAATAGTGCCCCATCATTGGTGTCAGTGGGAGGAATAGCGCCCCATCATTGGTGTCAGTGGGAGGAATAGCGCCCCATCATTGGTGTCAGTGGGAGGAATAGCGCCCCATCATTGGTGTCAGTGGAGGAATAGTGTCCCATAATTGGTGTCAGTGAGAGGAATAGCGCCCCATCATTGGTGTCAGTGGGAGGAATAGCGCCCCATCATTGGTGTCAGTGGGAGGAATAGTGCTCCATCCTCGGTGTCAGTGGGAGGAATAGTGCCCCATCATAGGTGTCAGTGGGAGGAATAGTGCAGCATCATTGGTGTCAGTGGGAGGAATAGTGCCCCATCATTGGTGTCAGTGGGGGGAATAGTGCCCCATCATTGGATAGAACCAAGCAAAGGGCGGAGTTTGTAGAGCCGTGTTCTGGAGCGATCCCGGGAGATGTTCTGATCCACGCTCAAACAATGTTTCTTTGTATAAAATCTGCAAACCTGGAATTCTAGTCATAAATGAAAGCAGAAGCCATGAAGTCTTTAGCATTAGTGTAGTGGGGTACCATCACCCCGTCTGAGCTCTGCTGCCCTTCAGCCAACCACTAGCCATGGTTTAATCACATGACTGGCCAACATTCCATCCCAGAGAAGCCGTATTTCCGGGAGAGGGAAGAATTTCATAGCTTCAGTCAATTTGTGGCTTCACGGGATCTGTGGGATTCTATGGTATGTGATGTGTGGGATTCAGGGACATGGGATCTGTGGGATTCAGGGACGTGGGATTCAGGGACATGGGATTCAGTGACGTGGGATTCAGGGACATGGGATTCAGTGACGTAGGATCTGTGGGATTCAGGGACATGGGATCTGTGGGTATCTGGGACACGAGATCTGTGGGGAATCTCTGACACGGGCTCTGTGGGATTCTGTGACGTGGGATCTGTGGGATTCTGTGACGTGGGATTCTCTGACACGGGATCTGTGGGGAATTTTGGACACAGGATCTGTGGGGAATCTGGGACATGGGATCTGTGGGGAATCTTTGACACTGGATCTGTGGGAATCTCTGACACGGAATCTGTGGGGAATCTCTGACGCGGGATCTGTGGGATTCAGTGAAGTGGGATTCAGTGACGTGGAATCTGTGGGATTCAGTGACATGGGATCTGTGGGAATCTGGGACATGGGATCTGTGAGGAATCTGGGACATGGAATCTGTGGGAAATCTTTGACACTGGATCTGTAGGGAACCTCTGACATGGGATCTGTGGGGAATCTGGGACACGGGATCTGTGGGGAATCTCTGACATGGGATCTGTGGGAATCTAGGACATGGGATCTGTGGGGAATCTCTGACACTGGATCTGTGGGGAACCTCTGACATGGGATCTGTGGGGAATCTGGGACACGGGATCTGTGGGGAATCTCTGACACGGGATCTGTGGGAATCTAGGACATGGGATCTGTGGGGAATCTCTAAAACTGGATCTGTGGTAATCTCTGACACTGGATCTGTGGGGAATCTGACGTGGGATCTGGGGGAATCTGACGTGGGATCTGTGGGAATCTTTGACACGGGATCTGTTGGGAATCTGATGTGGAATCTGTGGGGAATATCTGACACGGTATCTGTGGGAATCTGACACGGGATCTGTTGGGAAACTGATGTGGAATCTGTGGGGAATATCTGACACGATATCTGTGGGAATCTGACATGGGATCTGTGGGAATCTCTGACATGGGATCCCATGTCAGAGATTCCCCACAGATCCCACGTCAGAGAATCCCACATCACTGAATCACATCTGACATGTGATCTGTAGGGAATCTCTGACACGGGATCTATGGGAATCTGACACTGGATCTGTGGGAATCTCTGACACGGGATCTGTTGGGAATCTGACATGGGATCTGTGGGAATCTGGGACACGGGATCTGTGGGAATCTGGGACATGGGATCTGTGGGGAATCTTTGACACTGGATCTGTGGGAATCTCTGACACGGGATCTGTGGGGAATCTCTGATGCGGGATCTGTGGGATTCAGTGAAGTGGGATTCAGTGACGTGGAATCTGTGGGATTCAGTGACATGGGATCTGTGGGAATCTGGGACACAGGATCTGTGGGAATCTAGGACATGGGATCTGTGAGGAATCTGGGACATGGAATCTGTGGGGAATCTCTGACACTGGATCTGTAGGGAACCTCTGACATGGGATCTGTGGGGAATCTGGGACACGGGATCTGTGGGGAATCTCTGACATGGGATCTGTGGGAATCTAGGACATGGGATCTGTGGGGAATCTCTGACACTGGATCTGTGGGGAACCTCTGACATGGGATCTGTGGGGAATCTGGGACACGGGATCTGTGGGGAATCTCTGACACGGGATCTGTGGGAATCTAGGACATGGGATCTGTGGGGAATCTCTAAAACTGGATCTGTGGTAATCTCTGACACTGGATCTGTGGGGAATCTGACGTGGGATCTGTGGGAATCTTTGACACGGGATCTGTTGGGAATCTGATGTGGAATCTGTGGGGAATATCTGACATGGTATCTGTGGGAATCTGACACGGGATCTGTTGGGAAACTGACGTGGAATCTGTGGGGAATATCTGACACGATATCTGTGGGAATCTGACATGGGATCTATGGGGAATCTCTGACACGGGATCTTTGGGAATCTCTGACGTGAGATATGTGGGGAATCTCTGACGTGAGATCTGTGGGGAATCTCTGACGTGAGATCTGTGGGAATCTCTGACATGGGATCTGTGGGAATCTCTGACGTGAGATCTGTGGGGAATCATCTCTGACGTGAGATCTGTGGGAATCTCTGACATGGGATCTGTGGGATTTCTTTCCCCCGGTTTACATACAATGAGTCTTCCAGATGCACGGGTGGCTGTAGCGGCGTGGAGGACCTGGACACGAGGGTTGTCATGGAAATGGTGGAGGTTTCTGTATATTGGGTGAATGTTTGTCTTCAGAGCCCCGCCTCTCTGGTTGAGCTCTTCGCTGCACATTTCGTAAAATGCTTCTTTTTTTTTTTTTTGCAGCCAAATATCCGGAGATCAAATCCTTGATGGGACCCGACCGCCATCTTAAATGGATCGTCTTGGCGATGGTATTGGCTCAGCTCGTGGCCTGCCGTCTGGTGAGAGACTTGGCTTGGAAATGGGTCCTATTTTGGGCCTATGCCTTTGGCGGCTGTGTGAACCACTCATTGACTCTGGCCATACACGACATATCGCACAACGTGGCCTTCGGGAACCGCCAGGCCAAATGGAACAGGTGGTTCGCCATGATCGCCAACCTGCCCATTGGCATGCCATACTCCGCCTCCTTTAAGAAATACCACATTGACCACCATCGCTATTTAGGAGGAGACAACCTGGATGTGGACATCCCTACAGACTTTGAAGGATGGTTCTTCTGCACTCCCCTCCGTAAGTTGGTATGGCTCATCCTTCAGCCATTGTTCTACGCCTTGCGGCCGCTCTACATAAATCCCAAGCCGATCACCACGATGGAGATCTGGAATGCCCTTGTGCAGTTCTCGGTGGATCTTCTTTTGTATCACACGTTTGGTCTGAAGCCTGTTGTCTATTTGGTGGCGGGTTCCGTCTTCTGTTTGGGTTTCCACCCGATATCCGGACATTTCATTGCAGAACATTACATGTTCATGAAGGGACACGAGACCTATTCCTACTACGGACCTCTGAATCTGATTACGTTTAATGTTGGCTACCACATGGAGCATCACGACTTTCCCAGCATTCCAGGGAGCAAACTGCCTGCGGTAAGAGCTTCTCTTCTTCTAGAGTCCTGGTGCCCAACCTGTGGTCCAGGGGCAGCATGTGGCACTTAGACACTTATTGTGTGGCCCTTGGACCTCCACAGATAATAGTGTGTGTGTTTTCACCCATGGCATGCAACCTGGAGAGGGACTTTGGGGCAAAGCATCAGGACAGCCATGGCATTCTACAGATTGTGACAGGTGCCCTTCCTAGTGGACCTCTGGACAGTTGTAATCCCCCCTCCCCTGCCAGTGTTCTATGGTTTGTCCCAACCCCTGCAACTGTCACTTTTACTGGACAGCTTGTCCCTTAGCGTTCTGGAAGTGGGAAATGATGGATCCAATGTCAGGATCTACAGGTGGCACAATGGGGGACTCACAAAAACTGCCATGTTGGTGCAACTGACAGACTGAATCATGTATGTTCTTCTTCCGAGTGTATCTAACCATACACGTCCCGGATCCATCCCCGCCTCTAGATCCATTACAGGTCCACTTCATTATAGTGTTCATGGCCAGGAGCCAATCTGTGTAGCCTCTGGTCATGTGACTATCAATCCATATGATCTTTGGTTTTGGTTCTTCATCTGGTCCCAAGGGGTTGGGCGTGGTCGCAGTCCATACATTTGTCTCCAGGCCTTCTATAGAGTGTGTATAGTTGGCAGTTCAGTGGCCCTAGAAATCAGATTTGATGTCTTTCTTCCCCGTCAGGTTCACCGGATTGCATCAGAATATTACGACTGTCTTCCCCATCATGAGTCCTGGGCCCGGGTGATCTGGGATTTCATCTTCAATGAGGAGATTGGACCGTATTCACGAGTCAAAAGAAAATGCAAGTTGGCAAATGCGGGTTAAACGTCAAACCGACCTTCATGGGGAAAAACCATTTCAAAATCTCCGCACTGAATGAGGGATGATGGTACCCACCTCTGAGGTCACCCATGTGACTGTATATTCTGGCCCCACCTATGAGGTCACCCATGTGACTATATACTGTCCCCGCCTACGAGGCCTCATGTCTGTATATACTGGCCCCACCTACGAGGTCTCTCATGTGACTGCATATACTGGCCCCACCTACAAGGTCTCTCATGTAACTGACTGGATATACTGGAACCCGCCCAGGAGGCATTTCATGTGACTATATACTGGCCCCACCTACGAGGCCTCATGTCTGTATATACTGGCCCCACCTATGAGGTCACCCATGTGACTATATACTGTCCCCGCCTATGAGGCCTCATGTCTGTATATACTGTCCCCGCCTATGAGGCCTCATGTCTGTATATACTGGCCCCACCTACAAGGTCTCTCATGTAACTGACTGGATATACTGGCCCCGCCCAGGAGGCATTTCATGTGACTATATACTGGCCCCACCTACGAGGTCTCATGTCTGTATATACTGGCCCCACCTACGAGGTCTCTCATGTGACTGCATATACTGGCCCCACCTACAAGGTCTCTCATGTAACTGACTGGATATACTGGCCCCGCCCAGGAGGCATGTCATGTGACTATATACTGGCCCCACCTACGAGGTCTCTCATGTAACTGACTGGATATACTGGCCCCGCCCAGGAGGCATTTCATGTGACTATATACTGGCCCCACCTACGAGGTCTCTCATGTGACTGTATATACTGGCCCCACCTACAAGGTCTCTCATGTAACTGACTGGATATACTGGAACCCGCCCAGGAGGCATGTCATGTGACTGTATATACTGTGCCTTCAGTTCTCACACTCTGTGTGCTTTAATATGTGTTAATAAAGTTTTTTTAAGGTGTGGGGGTTGGTAAACAATGAAGATTATCTATGTGCTGTTGGATGGTGCTCAGCTTCTCATTAACAGCAATCAAAGCTCCTGTGTGTGCAGGAGGGCCCCAAGGGCCCCATTGTCCTCAGACTGATGAAAAAAAAAGAGAACTGCTGTAAATGTATTTTCTCTGGTAATTCAGAGACTTCTCATTGATGATCGATCGTCGCTGTCTCCATATGTATTGCTGCATGAGATCTCATCGTTATATCTTCAGTGCCGCCTTTATGTATGTGACAGAGGAGGACTCCCGGCATCTCGCAACCCTCCAGGTGACAGACCCCGCATTCCCTATACCCGCTCTCCCCGGACCCCGCATTCACTACGTCCGCTCTCCCCGGACCCCGCATTCCCTACGTCCGCTCTCCCCGGACCCCGCATTCCCTACGTCCGCTCTCCCCCCCGACCCCGCATTCCCTACGTCCGCTCTCCCCGGACCCCGCATTCACTGTGTCCGCTCTCCCCGGACCCCGCATTCCCTGTGTCCGCTCTCCCCGGACCCCGCATTCACTATATCCGCTCTCCCCCGGACCCCGCATTCACTATATCCGCTCTCCCCGGACCCCGCATTCACTGTATCCCCTCTCCCCCCGGACCCCGCATTCCCTGTGTCCGCTCTCCCCGGACCCCGCATTCACTGTGTCCGCTCTCCCCGGACCCCGCATTCACTATATCCGCTCTCCCCGGACCCCGCATTCACTGTATCCCCTCTCCCCCGAACCCCGCATTCACTATATCCGCTCTCCCCGGACCCCGCATTCACTGTGTCCGCTCTCCCCGGACCCCGCATTCACTATACCCGCTCTCCCCGGACCCCGCATTCACTATATCCGCTCTCCCCGGACCCCGCATTCACTATATCCCCTCTCCCCCCGGACCCCGCATTCACTGTATCCCCTCTCCCCCGGACCCCGCATTCACTATATCCGCTCTCCCCGGACCCCGCATTCACTGTGTCCGCTCTCCCCGGACCCCGCATTCACTATATCCGCTCTCCCCGGACCCCGCATTCACTGTATCCCCTCTCCCCCGAACCCCGCATTCACTGTATCCCCTCTCCCCCGGACCCCGCATTCACTATATCCGCTCTCCCCGGACCCCGCATTCACTGTGTCCGCTCTCCCCCGGACCCCGCATTCACTATATCCGCTCTCCCCGGACCCCGCATTCACTGTGTCCGCTCTCCCCGGACCCCGCATTCACTATACCCGCTCTCCCCGGACCCCGCATTCACTATATCCGCTCTCCCCGGACCCCGCATTCACTATATCCCCTCTCCCCGGACCCCGCATTCACTGTATCCCCTCTCCCCCGGACCCCGCATTCACTGTATCCGCTCTCCCCGGACCCCGCATTCACTGTGTCCGCTCTCCCCGGACCCCGCATTCACTATATCCGCTCTCCCCGGACCCCGCATTCACTATATCCCCTCTCCCCGGACCCCGCATTCACTGTATCCGCTCTCCTCGGACCCCGCATTCACTATATCCTCTCCCCGGACCCCGCATTCACTATATCCGCTCTCCCCGGACCCCGGCGGGAGAGGGGAGGCCCCCCCCCCAAGCTGTGCACCCCAGCAGGCAGGACTCTGCAGAAAATCCCCCTCTGGTGGCAGCTTCACCCCCAATACTCTCCCTAGATCCAGGACATGGACTGACACCTTTTATTGACTGATGAGGTTGGTGCAGCTTCCAGCGCCCCCTTCTCACACAAGGAATGAGGAGTGTCAGCGGACAATAAACCATTTATTACCAATATGAATACAGCTACGGAGGTGCACTGATGGACCGATATCGGAATATTGTGATGAGGCGGAGCTCTCCTTTATTATATATCATTTGGTGGCGGATTTCTGGAACGTGTCGGATTCTCGTGATTCTCAAATAAAATTCTGTTGGCAAAAAATAAAAAAGGGTCCTAACACTGCAGGCTAGCGGGGTCATCCGAAGGAAAAGCAAATGGCTGACTTCTCTTCCTCTACAAATGAAAAAGAAGACATTAAATAAGCGAAGATATCATACAAAAGGCGGCGATCTGCGCAAATGTCCGGCGAGGAAAAGAAGAATGGAGGAGTTCTGTCATGGGAAGAATCCGAGGCGGCAAGCTTCGAAGTGTCTGCTAAAGGGTCAGAGTGGAAGTGCTGTCCTTCGCCCATCCAATGCTCGGCTCAGCGGAGGCTCTCCGACGTCTCTGTACATTCCCACAACGCGCCGTTCTCCTCCGTCATTATGTCGTACTGATCCGACTCAGCTCCTGCCGTATCGCTGGAAGGGAAATGGACACAGTCACCAACCTAGACACAGTCACCACCACCAGCCTGGGAACAGACACAGTCACCACCACCAGCCTGGGAACAGACACAGTCACCACCACCAGCCTGGGCACAGACACAGTCACCACCACCAGCCCGGGAACAGACACAGTCACTGGCCTTGACACAGTCACCACCACCAGCCTGGGAACAGACACAGTCACCACCACCAGCCTGGGAACAGACACAGTCACTGGCCTTGACACAGTCACCACCACCAGCCTGATAACAGACACAGTCACCACCACCAGCCTGGGCACAGACACAGTCACCAGCCTACACACAGTCACCACCACCAGCCTGGGAACAGACACAGTCACCACCACCAGCCTGGGAACAGACACAGTCACCACCACCAGCCTGGGAACAGACACAGTCACCACCACCAGCCTGGGCACAGACACAGTCACCAGCCTACACACAGTCACCACCACCAGCCTGGGAACAGACACAGTCACCACCACCAGCCTGGGAACAGACACAGTCACCACCACCGGCCTGGACACAGTCACCAGCCTAGGGCTCTGTACATTCATTCTTACTCGCAGTGTTTTCTCCTTTCTGACTTTTATCACTTACATTGTGTCTCTGGATTTGCTGGAAAGAGTCAATTCCAGAGTACAGCCCCTCCCTCCTTATACATAATTACACCTCCTCTTCTGGGAGTGTCTAATTATTCTGTGCTGGCCCAGCTCCTCTACCCCTCACCTCCCTAAATAACATTTTCAGTAGCTGGCTAGGGGAGAGATGAAGTAGAATACTACAGAGTCCTCTGAGGATGGGGGTCCCTGAAGACTGAGGATGGGGGGGAACCTGAGGATGGGGGGGTCCCTGAGGACTGAGGATGGGGGAGGAACCTGAGGATGGGGGGGGTCCCTGAACTCTGAGATGCGGGAGGTTCCCTGAGGGCTGAGGATGGGAGGGTCCCTGAGGACTGAGGATAGGGGGGATTCCTGAGGACTGAGGATAGGGGGGTATTCCTGAGGATGGGAGGGTCCCTGAGGACTGAGGATAGGGGGGATTCCTGAGGACTGAGGATGGGGGGGATTCCTGAGGACTGAGGATAGGGGGGATTCCTGAGGACTGAGGATGGGGGGGATTCCTGAGGACTGAGGATGGGGGGGATTCCTGAGGACTGAGGATGGGGGGATTCCTAAGGACTGAGGATGGGGTGATTCCTGAGGACTGAGGATGGGGGGGATTCCTGAGGACTGAGGATAGGGGGGATTCCTGAGGACTGAGGATGGGAGGGTCCCTGAGGACTGAGGATAGGGGGGATTCCTGAGGACTGAGGATGGGGGGGATTCCTGAGGACTGAGGATAGGGGGGATTCCTGAGGACTGAGGATGGGGGGGGATTCCTGAGGACTGAGGATGGGGGGGATTCCTGAGGACTGAGGATGGGGGGGATTCCTGAGGACTGAGGATGGGGGGATTCCTAAGGACTGAGGATGGGGTGATTCCTGAGGACTGAGGATGGGGGGGATTCCTGAGGACTGAGGATAGGGGGGATTCCTGAGGACTGAGGATAGGGGGGATTCCCTGAGGACTGAGGATAGGGGGGATTCCTGAGGACTGAGGATAGGGGGGATTCCTGAGGACTGAGGATGGGGGGGATTCCTAAGGACTGAGGATGGGGTGATTCCTGAGAATGGGGGGGTCCCTGAGCACTGAGGGTGGGGGGGGGGGTACCCGCAATAAAGCATCACTTGACTGCTGCCGTCACATCTGAGATTTTATTATCATTACCCAACGCTGAGCCAATCCACAGCCATTCCCAGCAGTCCCTGCCCCTAGGAGCTGACACTCTAAGGTCCCTAGCCACATACAAGGGACTATGTAGACAGCCGCCAATGAACCTCCATTCCCCCTACTTTGTTATTGAGCTAATCGTTTCTCCGGTCCCACAGCTCAGCCATGACAATCAACCAATCAGTCAGTCGATCAATCAGTCAGACGATCAATCAGTCAGACGATCAGTCGATCAATCAGTCAGTCGATCAATCACCGTGTATCATTCTTCCGGCTCCTAACCAGCACAGGTTGGAATGCGGAGCCGATGCAGGGCCGGGACTTACCATCGATGATCTCTTCTTTGACTTTATGTAACTCTCTAACGACTTCCTCTAGTATTTCCTGAGGAAGAAGAAGATGATTGGTCAATATACAAGAGAAGGAGGACCAATCACCTGGCCTCAGGACAGAACAGACAGTACGTCTTTCTTCTGATCAATCAATCAGGAAACCAGAAATACATTCATAAAAAGCCGACGGACACCGTATACAGCCTGAGCACACCGTATACAGCCTGAGCACACCGTATACAGCCTGAGCACACACCGTATACAGCCGGCACACACCGTATACAGCCTGAGCACACCGTATACAGCCTGAGCACACCGTATACAGCCTGAGCACACCCGTATACAGCCTGAGCACACACCGTATACAGCCGGAGCACACCGTATACAGCCTGAGCACACCGTATACAGCCTGAGCACACCGTATACAGCCGGAGCACACCGTATACAGCCTGAGCACACCGTATACAGCCTGAGCACACCGTATACAGCCTGAGCACACCGTATACAGCCTGAGCACACCGTATACAGCCTGAGCACACCGTATACAACCTGAGCACACCGTATACAGCCTGAGCACACCGTATACAGCCTGAGCACACCGTATACAGCCTGAGCACACCGTATACAGCCCGAGCACACCGTATACAGCCGGCACACACCGTATACAGCCTGAGCACACCGTATACAGCCGGCACACACCGTATACAGCCTGAGCACACCGTATACAGCCTGAGCACACCGTATACAGCCTGAGCACACCGTATACAGCCTGAGCACACACCACACCGTATACAGCCGGAGCACACCGTATACAGCCTGAGCACATCGTATACAGCCTGAGCACACCGTATACAGCCTGAGCACACACCGTATACAGCCTGAGCACACCGTATACAGCCTGAGCACACACCGTATACAGCCTGAGCACACCGTATACAGCCTGAGCACACACCGTATACAGCCTGAGCACACCGTATACAGCCTGAGCACACCGTATACAGCTGGCACACACTGTATACAGCCGACCGACACCGTATACAGCCGGAGCACACCGTATACAGCCTGAGCACACACCGTATACAGCCTGAGCACACCGTATACAGCCTGAGCACACCCCCTATACAGCCTGAGCACACCGTATACAGCCTGAGCACACCGTATACAGCCGGCACACACCGTATACAGCCTGAGCACACCGTATACAGCCGACGGACACCGTATACAGCCTGAGCACACCGTATACAGCCGACGGACACTGTATAC